GTTAATTATTGAAACTGTCCTACCAATTTGATTTGAAACTGTCTCATTGCTATTTGTTTATCAATAAAATCATGGAAAAAAATAAAATAAAAATAAAAAGAATATGGGCAGAAGTAATAGCAAGAAATTTAGCAAATATGGGAAAAACAATCTACCATTCAAGTAAGTGAAGCATAGAGAACTCCATATAGCGTCAATCCAATTAAAAACACATCCAGACACATAATAGTTAAATGAAAATGAAAATACCAAAGAAGTAAAATATCTCTTTAATGAATATTGCAGTACACTGAATAAAGAGATCATAGAGGATCTCAGAGAATGGAAAGATATTCCCTGCTCCTGGATAGAAAAACCAAAATTGTTATGGTGGCCATACTCACAAAATTGTTATACAGATTTAATGCAATACCTATCAAAATACCACCAACATACCTCACAGACATAAAGAAATCATTCCAAAAAAAATTTTGGAACCAGAAAAGACCTAGAATACCAAAGGAAATCCTGGGCAACAAAAACAAGGCAGAGGCAGGAGACATTACAATTCCTGACTTGAAATTATACTATAAATCTACTGTGATAAAATCAGCATGGTATTGGAAAAAAAATAGAACTGAGAATCAACAGAATAGATTATAAGATGCAGAAGCAACTAAAAACACACTCAGCCACCTTATCTTTGACAAAGGGCCCAAGCATGCTTACTGGAAGAAAGATCATCTCTTTAACAAATGGTGCAGGAAAAGCTAGCACTCTACATGCTGAAAACTAAAACTTGACATAGGTCTATTACCATACATTAAACTAAAGTCAAAATGGATTAAAGATCTAAACAGTAAATCACCTGGAAGAAGGCCAGGGAGATGGCTTAGTAGAATAAGCTCTTCCCTGGCAAGCACAAGGCCCTGAGTTCAATCCTTAGTTCTGCCAAAATAATAATAATAATAATAATAATAATAATAATAATAATATAATAATAATAAAGTCAATCTCATGGAAAAGAAAGTAGGAGAAAATCTTGAAGACATAAGTGTAGGCAAACAATTT